ATCCGAACTCCAGTCAATTTTATGCTAATTTTAACGTGAAAAAAAGATTAAACTGCCTCTATTAATGGGCAAAAGATTAACGTCGGCCCTAGTAAAAAATAATAAAAACAAAGGGACAGACTGGCTTTGGCTATAATTAGTAGCTCAAGAACTCAAGGATCCAATCTTAAGCCATATTTTTCTCTGAGTCGTTGGCTATGCATCACCTGGGCATTTTGTGGTCCCTTTGCCAAATCTTTGCTCCATGCTCTAACCACACTCAACTGGACAATAAATTCATTGCCTAATTTCTAGCATTCATTCAGTTCAATCATACATGCACAATTGTATGATAGATCGCGAGTAATGCTTGATTTACAAATATTTTTTTACCGACCGAGAAATATAATTTACTTTTATTGTGGTTTGATTTATCCTTGTACATAGTTTCTTAGCTGGTCCCTGTGGTTCAAATAAGTAGACAATTAAAATTGACTAGTTGTTTTATGCTGAATACAGCCTATTGGCAATAGATCTGCTTCCTATCTACCTCCTAAACCCTGACCCTGAGGCAGTCTCTTATTTTAACTTTTTTTTGAGTGCAGATCTCGAAGGGGCCATTAATTGTCCATTTTCTTCACGCCAATCTTTTATAATCTTATTTATTTTGAATTATTGCGGAAGAATAAGGAAAATAGATAGGTTAAAATTATCTCAACTCAAGGAATAAGACAAGAGCACGTAGATATCCTTTATCACAGTGCCAATTTTCACAATAGTGGTTGGACCCTTTTCAGTTACTATCTAATTGGAGAAGATCTGAATCCGGTTAAAAGGAACTGTTATATCGAAGTAGATTTTGGATGTGATGACAAATCTGATATTGATTCGCCATCTATCAAAGAGATACATATGGAGCCCTCCATGTGAAACTATATTTATGAAAAATGTCATAGAGTAATCATGCTTGAATGATGAAGGACTATGAGTTGGAAAGATAGTGAGAATGCAATTTCCTCATCCTTACCTAACAGTTACCAAGTTTGTGAATATCTGCTCCGATATTGTAAACTTCAAAAAAAATATGAGACTGTCACAGCAAAAGAAGGTTACCATCACCATTATATTTCAAGCTGATTGGTAGTGCATTTCAGCTCTACATCAGTATTTTTTTTTTCTAAATGATTATCACAGTGTTCAGTATAATTGGTTATATAATACAAGATAAACCTTAATAAAACAAATCGGCAGTAATTAAGAAGGAATTCTTCAGAAGATATAGACTGTAAAACTCTTTTCGTTAATCTAGACTAAAAGTTTGCTGTTTATGCACAGTGAATTCAATTTCATGTTAGGGGTCAAATTTAAAGCTGGATTTTTTTTTTGACAAATAAATAAATAATAGGGTTATATTTGATGCCGGGAATAAGTACGTGCATAAATTTCATATATGTAGGGACATTAATCATGGCACATAGAAAGCAACTGAGCAAGCCATTTTTCTGCTTGGTTCAGTACGGCAGCAGATTTCATGGGGCATACAAATGAACATATACAGCTGCGCTCCTTTAGAAAGGAGAAACATGATGAAGGACAGAGAACCAAATGCCAGCACTAAAATGAATTCAATGAGAGCGTACACATGAGTAAACATTAGTAAAGACACATAAAAATGAGGTTGGTTTTGGTTAGTAGTTAATGTAACAGTTTCTCTTGTTGTAACTTTATTAGCAAACAAAAGGGTATAATTGCACATAAATCCATTTTAATATCACTGCTTTGGACGTACCATCCCTTTATTGGACAAATTTTCAAAAGAGACCCGTTTGTGGATTTAATCCCAAAAAACGACCTTATTCAAACATATTTACAAAAACCGACCTGGTTTCAGCCTCAGCGTTGAAACCAGGTCGGTTTTTGAAAAAAAAATTCCGAAACTTCACGGGAGTTGAACTCCCGTGAAGTTTAGCAGATCTACTAAACTTCACGGGAGTTCAACTCCCGTGAAGTTTCATAGTTTAATTTTTTTTTTTTAACTATGAAACTTCACAGGAGTTGAACTCCCGTGAAGTTTAGCAGATCTGCTAAACTTCACGGGAGTTGAACTCCCGTGAAGTTTCGGAAATTTTTTTTCAAAAACCGACCTGGTTTCAGCGCTGAGGCTGAAACCAGGTCGGTTTTTGTAAATATGTTTGAATGAGGTTGTTTTTTGGGAATAAAAATCTAAATGGTTCTCTTTTGAAAATTTGTCCTCCCTTTATTTCATTGTTTCACGTAGACACCATTTTTTTACTTTTTTAACCCTTGGATATACTCACTGATTTTACTCATTGACAATATCTGCCAAAATTTCATCAAGGTAAAATATTAAAAAGATTTGACCCAGGGTATATACTTGCAACAGCGAACTATATGGGGGGGTAGCAAGTTTAAAACAGTGACACTACACATTTGCAAGTCATTACATTTAGGGGCTGTTTGTTTCGCTCAAATTTGAGCTGAAAGTGTCGTAAAGGGGCTGTTTTGAAAACTGACGACGAAAAAACTGTCAGTTTTCTTCATTTACGGTTGTTTGGTTCGTTTTGAGCGGCGAATGAAAATGGGGCTGAAAGTGGCGATTTGCTGAAAGATCATTTCCGTTCCAAAAACCCCGATTTTGGTGGAAAGTGATCAAATCTCGTTTCCCCCCCTCCCCTCCCCTTTCACCCTAGGTTTCTGATCACCGCGCCGTTCCTTCCCTCCATCTTCTCCCGCCACCTGCTCTTCGCACGGCTGTTTGCTCCTTCAGCTCTCGATCGCTGTTCTTGAGGTTTTGGCCTGACGATTTGGCCTGACGATTCAGCTCTCGATCGCCTGGTTGATTTGGGGATTTGGCCTGACGATCGCTGTTCTTGAGAAAATTGGGCGCTACTCAGGTAAAAAACCCTAAACCCAAGTATATTTTTGAGCTAGGGTTTTAGTTCAGGATCTTTGCTCGGGTTCGGAGATCATATCAGGTTTAAGATCAATAAGATCATTACCATATCTCTGTCATGTAAAGAAAAGGGGAAAAGAAGAACAGGGACTCACACTTACTTATTGATTTCGTTAAGAAAAGGAAAAAATGATACCTGACATACTTTGAAGGGTGTGGGAAATTAAGTTTTGCAAAGGAACATCTACCATGTTGATTTGTGAATTATGTGATGGATAGATAGACCTGATCATTTGTTTGATTTCTTTGTTTGGTATCTTGTTATTTGGTATCTTGATATTCAAATCATGTTATGCACATCTTGAACTTGTCAAATATGAAATGGTATATCATATTATGATATATATGGTTAAATGGATATATCATGGGAAATTGAGTAGTGTAGTCTGGTTAGGATACTTATGATTACGTGTGACAAAATCATGAAAGCTCGTCTCTTTTAATGCCTCAATCAACACATGTTTTTATTTTGCAAGTAGGACCTTAGCAATATAATTAGACAACCATCTTCATTTACTGTTACTATCTGCTTTAATATGACGTTTGTATTTTAGATGGATGGTGATCTCGATGAAGAAACCGTAGTTAATTATTGCCTACAGTAATATATTGCAGCCAACATTGCTTTATAAACTTTATGGCAAGGCAGATAATGAAATAATGGCCTTTTCTGAGCACAACTATTATGTTGGGTGGTAATCTTACCATGGTGACCACAAGCAAGTTTTCTTAATTTTTTAGTTTGAACCAAACACCAGAAAATGATGTAAAGTATTTTCACTACATATTTTCTTCTTTTTTCAAGTTGAACCAAACAATAGAAAATGATGTAAAGTATTTTCACTACATATTTTGGGCGAAACAAACGCAAGAAACATTTTTCAGGAAAGTGAAGAAAACACAAGAAAGTGAAGGAAAATCATCTATGGAAAGTGAAGGAAAGTAACCAAACAGCCCCTTACAATAGAACACACAACTGCAAACTATAGGTTTGCAATGGCTCATAAACTGGAGATAAGCTGGACTAATCTCGTCGAACCAAATTGACGAAGGCCCTGTTTGAGTCATGTGCCCAAGCACATCTACTCATATATCCATCTAACAATTATCCTAATGTAACTCTAAATCTCATCTCATTTTTGGTAATTACACTCACATCTAATGACCTAATATGCCAATAAACCATGTGAATGCAAGATGTGCCGAAAATTCATGCTATTGTAGAAGCAAAAGGGGATTGCATTGCATAGTCTTAGTGGCTCTATAGCTAACATATAGTGTGCACATGCAATAGCCTTTTTAAGTAGAGTGATCCCCTGTGTGCACGTTAACGTTGCCCTAACCATTTGTTTAGGAAGGGGGTTATTCTTGTGTTAAATAAACACATGCACAAACACACAAAGTTCTACTGACCCACAATACTCTAATGTAGAATTTAATGTACTAGATTAGATCTTAGACAAAAGTATTTAATCCTTTTCTGCCAAAGTTGTAAGCCCCAAATAGAAACGAAGGCAGAAGGGAATAATTCTCCACATCATTTCTTTAATACTAGTTGCAGATTGGCCCTCATACATACCCCCTATATTGTTTCCCAATTGCGGGTAGACCCCATGAGCAAACTTTTTCACTCTCTTTTACCCTCACGAGGCCTATTCATCAAAAAAACAAATCTCTTCCTCCGAGGGTGGAAGAGTCAAAATTTTTCGCTTAGGGGAGTTCGTCTGCAACAATGGAACCCCGAGGGTCTATCCACAATTAATGGATAGTACAGGGGTCTATCCGCAATTAGTCCAAATGGTAAGACTAATCCGGTAACAAACTGAAACTTCTCAGTGTTCTCACTCCTCCCACTTGTGTGTTTGAAATTCTCTCCTCTCCTTGCGTCTTTTGTTTATGTTCTTCCCAAGATCTCTACTGGCTCTCTGAGTTCCTCTTCTTCTATAATATATCATATCATGGGGAAGCAAACTCCAGAGTCTAAGCAGACAATCAGTCAAAGAATAGGATGGCAGAGCTCACAGCGTACAGCAATGAAAAGTACTAATAATGGCAATTATAATGAATACCTTTATAAATGAAGGAACCCGTCCTCTCCTAATTCTCTCCTCTCTTTTTTTTAAAGTTAATTTCTTGTCACAAGGAAAACAAAAATAAAAGAACAAAAACAACTGGTGCGTGCTTCAACATCTTGAAAGCATGAGCAACTGGTTATTCCTCTTTTTTTTTTTTGGTATTTTTCTTCTTTAATTTCAGTCCACACCAAAACTCCCACTAACCAAACTAAACTGAACAATGCAAATCTTTGTACTAGCTCATGAAACAAAATGCCTGCTTATTTTCCTCCTCTTGCTAGCAGGTGAGCTATTGTGAGAATTTTCATGAGTATCAGTAGCCCTTTCCTCACTGTTATGGCTCAAGCAGCATCCAGCATCAAGAACCCCGGTTGGGCTCAGCGCAGAGGAACTTGACGGACTACTTGCATTCTTTAGGCCCATACTCTTCATAAATATCACCTCTTGTATAACTTCATAGCATCTCAACAATTTCGCCTGCAACCAACCAAATTATAATCACATAAACCAACTAAAAACCTGGGTAATTATAACAAAACATTACGTAATTACAAAGACTATACCTTGTCTACATTGTTGCAAAAGGATGCAAACTTTTCAATATCCACCATTTGGGTTTCTCCCAATACTGACATTGCAACTGCTGCTGCAATCTCAGAAGGCCTGAATGCTAAAAACTCGATCCCTGCATTCCAATTTCACATAATTCAGATAAATTTTACTTTGTATACGTATGAATGTGAACAAAGATTTTATACCTCTAGCTGTGCTCAATATTAGCTGAGCTGCACGAGAGATCAATGGCTTGGATGGGGAATTGCCATCATTGAATTTGTGAAGGAAGTAGTCTATGAAAGAGAAAGGGGTGACTGCTTGCATCCTCCATTTGAGAGTGCTCAGAACAAGAAGCTCCATTCTTTGAATAGTCCTAGCTTCAAAAACATATTTTGATTCGCTAACCTGATTTAATTTCACATAAAATTTTCATAATTAAGTAAAAATCTATCATGTTACAAGCTACGGAATAGTTCATCTGGAATATTCAATTCACCTGTAAATCAAGCAATAGAGGGACTTCAGTTTCTTCCATCTTGGCAGCCAAAGACAAACAAGCCACAGAGAGTAACTGAGACATCCAAGTCTTTCCTTGCTATATAACAAGAATTGAATAGAGAATTAAGATGAGAAATAGAACTAAAATAGATCACTCAATATGTGCTAAATAATAATAATAAACTGAAAATTTTCGCATTATGAAGGATTCTCACTGGAAGTTCATAAGCTGAGAGGAATCTATCCAAGTAATTCACAGAGAGATAAGCGCTCAATGGTCCAAAACTGTAGTGGGCATGAGCCTGTCCAGTAAAATAGAAATACCACTTCATTAGTTCATAACAGAAAAGAATAGACATTGAACAAAATAAAGACATCAAACTATCAAAATCATACACAACCCAGAAATCCAGGACAGAAAATTATAACAGCATTGACCAAATAACATAACTAAAATAATCCTACTATAAAAGGATTAAAAGAACAAAGAAAATTAAGGAAAATGAAAAAGGGGGAAATTCTCACTTTCCAAATCCAGTCAATGGCATCTCTTCTGATTGACAAATCCAAGGCCCCAGTGATCAATCTCTTCCCATAATCTTCTCTTGGAAGATGTTCAGCCTCTGTCTTTATCATCAAATCCAAGCACTCATCAGATTGCAGTGGAAAACCCATCAAGAAATCTTCATAAAGATCACTCCTTTGCTGCTGAGGAGCCCAGACATCTTCCTCTAGCTCATCCTCAAAGCAGAGGATGCTGTTGTTGTCCTCAGCACAGAGGAGGATAGAAGACGCAGTTTCATAGCTCAAACCCATTTCTCCCAAGAATGTAAAAGTTCAGATTTTGATAAGGATTTCAGGTAATAAAAGAAGTATTTTTGATGGGTTTGTAGCTCCTCTTCCTCTTCCTCTTCCTCTCCCTCTCAAATAGGTCTCTTCATAGAATGCAAGAGGAAGAGAAAGGAAGAGCTTTGCCTTGTTAAGAGCTTTCAATGGAGAGGCACTGTAGCAAGAATGAGGCTCATGGCTGGCAAAAATAGGGACAAATAGGGATGAAAAAGGAGAAGAAAATGATAAAAAAATTCACTGTTTTGCACTTTGCCTTCTGTATAAAATTTTTCGTTCTTTTGCATATGTGTTTGCTTGGGGGTTTTGGGAAGTCTTTTGGGCTTTTGGGGTTTTGATGGGGGTGGGTGGGATTAAAAATGATGATGGTCTGGTAATTGAGATGACTTTTTATTTGGTTAATGATGTGGGAGGTACAAATACATGATTTGAGGAGGTGTGTTTGTATTTCCCTGTCTGCCCCTTGAGCTTTTGCCTATTTTCAAGAGAGTCATTTGGTGTGAGGACTACAGTAGACATGCCAAAAAACAATTTCACAAATTCATTAGTAAAAAGGCCAAATAGCACATCCTATGGTTTCATCTATTTTCCACTTATATGCTCTTACTTGTATTCGGTAGCAAAAAAATATCTTAAAGTTTTTAAACCTACACTTATATACCCCAACTTGTTTTTTTTTTTTTTTTTTTTAGCTATACCCCAACTTGTTTTTTTTTTTTTTTTTTGTAGCACTTATGTAGCCTAAAGTTATTAGAATTTGCACTTAAATACCCTAAAGTTTTTAAATATGGTACTTAAATAGCCTAAAGTTTTTAAAACTTTGCACTTAAATACCCTCAAGCTTGGATAATTAAGGGTATTTATGTGTAATTTTTTACAAACTTTATGATATTTAAGTGCCGCCAATATAAGCGAGAGTATATAAGTACAAGTTTTTAAAAATTTTAGGATATTTTTTCTACCAAATACAAGTTAAGGTATATATAAGTGAGAAGTAGGTGAAACAATAGGGTATATAAATACTATTTAACCAAATACAAATGATGGGTACAATATAACAATTCATTTCACTAAACAATTATTAAGAAATAGACTAAAGTGTTAGTCTCCTCCTATTAGTCACCCCCAAATCAAATTGTGTTAGACCTTTCATTGTTATCTCTTCGATAGCTTGTTTACAAAATAGGGTGACAACTCACATCCAAAAATATTTTTCTAAATATATTTTTGGATTCATTTATATGTTTGAAAAAGCAAAATTTATAGTGTCTATTCATTAAGTAAAACCACTCATTTAAATTGCATTAGTATTATTAGAAACTATTGATGGATTAATTGTTTCATTTTAAAGATTAATGGAATTTTACTTTATTTTGTTTTTGTATGCACAAATCAATGTAATGGAAAAGAAATATTGATTCTAGTTTCTGAAAATGCATAAAATGCATATACGTTGAACTACTTTCCAAAATCCAGAGAATGAAATCCAGTGTAACCTAACATTTATGTGATGAAATTTTTTTTATGCATAGAATTTCTCATTTCTAGTTAATTGAAAGTTTTTCTGAAATATAAAGTTAAAAATTGCAACAATTATGATGTAGGGGTGCTATTGTCAGTTTCCTTTTTGTTAGATTTGATAATTGTTGAGGCGGGGAGGTAAAGAAAGTGAGGATCTTGGAATAAAAGAGGAGGGGTATTTTGGGAAAGACAAAATAAGGCCTGACCAATTAGATAGCAAAGCTGCGGTGTTCTGGACTTTCTATTGGGACGCGTGTCTATGGCAGAAGACCAATACTGCTGCCGTTTCACTCAGAGCCAGCTAATTATTACCCTAAGTTTGTACTGTACCCACTTCTCAATTTCATTTTTATGAAATATAACTAGTAGTTTTTCCTCTCAAAATTCCTCATGGTAATTATAATATATAGGGTCCTAAGATAAATCGTCTGTCCTTAACGGAGTTCGCTTCCTCGTTATTTGATTTTTATTTTAACAAATTTTCACATTAAGTGCTAGTTTTTACGTGTGACGAGTTTGTCGTTTTGTGGAGAAATTCCTCCTTTCATTGTTCTCTTATTTATCTTAAAAACAATGAGAAAAATCAATCTAGATGGTTTAGTCTCACCTAATTAGAATGTACTAACTCAAACTAGCAGAAATGATAAGATTATGATTAAAAGGTAAGAAAGAACAGAGTCATCCGTCACGACTAAAAAGCAATCAAAAAAGACATGAGAATTATTAACTTAAGTGGAAGAGATGACTCTTAATCATATTAACTATTAAGTCAAATAATATGACTTGTATAATTGATCCCAAAATATTTAGGATAAAATACTTGTTATTGTTGTTATTTTTATTATTGCAATGCTAATGGTTTAGATCACATCATAAAATTATATTATTATTATTATTATTGGTACGAGGGAAATCTTAACCGTTGGGAGCTACAAGTAGACAAGCAGCCCAAGCTCAAGTCCAAGTCGTCAATAGGACTTCCATCAGACCACTTGGCTAGTATAATGTTAAACATCAACCACCTGAGCTCACCCCTTGATGGTAATTGTATTTAATTCATTTTTCTATTTTTCACATCTGATGTATACAGTTTCATTATTTTATAGGGAAAAAATGTGTCCAAGAGTCCAAAAATAGAAACTTCATGTGACGAGACTCTTTGTATTTTGCCCCATATAGATAAGCCCCAAATACACACAGTATTTGTGACGAAGCCCTAAAGTATCGGATTTAAAAAAACAAGTGGAAGTTACGAATTTGCCCCTTTGATGGGACTGAACTCGGTTACTATGCCCCTCTCTGTTTATTCCTAATTTCTCCATCATTAATCACATCTCTCTCTCTCTCTCTCTCTCTCTCTCTCTCTCTCTCTCTCTCTCTCTCTCTCTCTCTCTCACCCTCTCTATCTCTCAACTTCTCCTTCTCTCTCACTTCCGCCATGGCCACTGAAAATGATCAGGCCCTGGGCAAGCCGTGGAAGGCGAAGGCGAGGACGGTGGTCATGGAGTCAGAGATTAGGGACATGATCAGGCCTGAGGGTTGGGTCGTCTGGGACGGGGCCGACTTCCACTAGACCTGCTATTATACCGAGGACAACAACAGGGGGTCTAATAGCGACCCCAGGCCTAGGGCCGAGTGGGTCAAGAAGCACGATCTCATCAACAAGAAGGAGGCGTCCCTCTTCCTGATCGAGGACTAGCTGGGGGACGTCACCTGGCTGAGGGACGCTGGGGCAAAGTTCATCGACGGCTTTGTCAAGAGCTAGTTAGTTTAATCAAATCGCTAGCTAGGTTGCTAATTAAATACTCGATTGGCTTGGACCCGCCGTGCATAAAGCACGTTGGGTTTTAATTTATTACCTTGAATTTTTATTAATTGTTTTGTCATGGAAATTTTTTTTAAACATTTTATTTGTAATTGTTTCTGAAAATTATAAATGAACAGTGAGGTGAATTCCTCTCCTCTTTTATTGTTGTTATTGCTATTTTTATTATCAGTTCACTGCTGGAAACATAACTTTTAGCGACGGAAAAATCCGTCGCTAAAAGTAGAAAATCCGTCGCTAAACCCTTTAGCGACGGAAAATATAAAATCCCGTCGCTAAAATATCGTCCGTATAGTGAGGGTAGCTAACATGTGTTTTAGCGACGGATATTCCGTCGCTAAATTTTAGCGACGAAACATTAGCGACGGATAATCCGTCGCTATACTTTATTTAAAAAAATTAAAAAAACTTTAGCGACGGATTTTCCGTAGCTTCGTTTTTTTTTTCAAAAATAGTTATTAGCGACGTATTTTCCGTCGCTATTAGTTATTAGCGACGGCTTTTCCGTAGCTAAAAGATTGTTTAGCTACGGAAAATCCGTCGCTAATAACTATTAGCGACGGAAAATCCGTCGCTAATTACTATTTTTGAAAAAATAAAAAAATAAAAAAAACGAATATTCCGTCGCTATTAACTTTAGCGACGGAAAATCCGTCGTTAATATTATCTATTTTCCGTCGCTAAAAGTGTATTTAGCGACGGATAATCCGTTGCTAAAAGCTTCCAATATTTTTTTAAAAAATAATTTGAAAATTGAAAAAACCTGTACAATAATATAATAAATTTAAAATCCTGTTCAATCAGCAGTATAATATTCATTCTCACGCATATATAACACATAATTTAATTAAAATATCCCAACATAGTAAGCGTTGTTTATACAGTACACACCATGATAAGTATTGTTTATACAACACACTCATTCATTGTTTTCAAAGGTAAAAAAACAAATCAGTCCTCTTGATCATCATCCTCATCACCAGCTCCACCTTGTCTAGAAGTCCCGGCCTGCAATTATAAATCAAACGTTAACAACATGGCATGACATTCAAGTATAGCAATAAGAGAGTATCATGGCATATTCTTATGTATTATACGCACGCACACACAATTTTTACAACAACGCATACACACACCCTAACAACGCATGCACGCATAATTTTTACAACAATACGCGTACACGCACAATTTCTCACCATATGCGCATGTACGCGTACATGCTCATACGTGTACATGCACATACGCGTATACGCACGCACGCACACATACACGCGTGCACGCATGCACGCATGCACCACACTCCACACCCCCCACCCCCCACCCCCTCCCCCTCACCCTACATCACCACCACCACCAAATCCACACTCCTTCCCCTCCCCCACCATGACCAAATCACCCCCCAAGCAATCACATAACCAACCATACGCACGCACGCACCACAACAACACAACCACGAC